GGTCCAGTGAAAGACACATCCTTTAATTATAACCTCAGGATAAACAGATGACAATGCTCTCCAGATACCTTTTTCAAAATCCACCACAAATTTCATTGGGAAATGTTGATTGGTCAGCTCCTTTATGGACTTTTTTTAAGAATTTTCTTTCCTTTAGACAGTAGTTCAATTTGTTTTGGAGTTGAAAAAATTATTATTCTGTCATCTTTCATTTTAATATCTTTTACCCGAAACTCATCTGGTATAAATGATATTTCAAAATTTGAGTGAATATCTGTCAGCTCTTCTGGCTGAAATCTTCTTTTTGTCCAATTTGCCAACCTGGCACAGTTATCCATTGATGGAATAGCTTCTTCACAATCACAATGATGTTTTAATACTTCCTCAGCTAAGCGTTTTCCAGAAGAGAAAGTTTCAATTTCACACAATTGTTTAATTTCATTTTTAATTAAAATTTTCTTTTCCAGACAATCTTCTCTTTTATGGGAATGGGGTTTTTTTCCAGGATAGAATTGATCTTCCAATTGATTGACACTTGCTGGGCATTTGTTGTTCTTATTCCTTACACTACATGTCCAAAATGTTTTTGTTGACCTTTTCATCTTTATTGTAAACATATAACCGTCATAGGCTAATAGGTCTTTACCTTTTTGACTCATTCCTTTCAGAATTTTGAAAGTTGGCTCCATATCTACTCTTTTTGACATTGGAGAATTTATGAAAGAAGTTTCCATCAAATTATTTGAATCCTGTGAATGATTTTCTGTTGTGATTTCAATGTTACACCCAATCATTAGATCTGTGCTGTTGTTTTCAACAAGAACATCATTATCATCAACATCTGTTCTCATATTTCTATCACTTTCTTTTTCATTTTCATAAATATCTGGACCATTACCAACAACATCATTCATAGTATTTTGAACTTCATATGTCATCTCTACTTCCTTTTCCACTTCAGAGTTCACTGTTTTGATTTGACTAGTAGACAGCTGTTGTAAGGTGACCAAACATGTTCTCTTAGAAATATCTTCACAAATATTGCAAAGAAAGAGATGATTTTCTGTTAATACAATCATTTAAAAAAATGATATATGCTATAAAATTGAATTTAACCTACTTTTCATGCATTTCTTGTGAATTATTACCCAATGGTGACATAGTTGACACTTTGCTTTATGCTGTCTTCCAACCATTTTCTCCTTACAATTGTAGCAAAATGCCATTATCTATCAGTAAAAAGAGAAAGTTACCCCAAAATGGCTGCTCAAATATTTTAAAAGAGATTTTATTAATTAAAGTTTTACCTTAAACTGATTCAATTTAAATGAATTATCAAGAGATATTCTGGTGTATTGAATTTTTTTGATATTGTGTTGTACTTGTGAAATATCCTTTTCAGATAATATTTGAATCAAACTCTCCTTTGTATGGAACAAAAACAGGAAATCATAAACAGGAAATAGTTCCTCAACAAAATGGAGAACCTGACATTGCATAATTTTTATTATCACTACAATGTACATACATTATTAATTTTAATTTCCATGGCCATTTTCCCCTATAGACTTTTTCCACTGTGGACATTTCTCCTGTGGATATTTTCCTCTGTGGACGTTTTCTCCTGTGGACATTTTCTCTTGTGGACATTTTCTCCATAAACCATTTCTATTCCATGCTAGATTGATTGTTTCCAGTATGGAACAATGTTTCAGCAAATTTCCAATCCAATTATCTTGTTCTTCATTTAAATTACAGCAATGTAAATTAAGATTCTTCAAGGTGTTTGATGACATTTGAAGTCCATTACAAAGTTTCAAAAATTGGTGTTCTTTTTTTTTCTTCAATGATTGCTGTTGACATTGATTTGCATTGTTTTTGTCAAGGTTCTGTTTGCATTGTGGACAGGAGAATTCAATACTTTCCTTTGGTAATTGTTGAATACTTTGAGAAAGATATGTGTGTTGACAAGGTAGCATTTTTTGATCATTTCTCACGAACAATTCCAAGTATTTTGAACATTTAGTTTGTGTTTCATATTATTATAGATCACTTGGCAGCCATTTTGAAAACAGGACTTTTTTACTTTTGTTTTCTACAATTGTAGCTCTATCTTGTGTTTTTCATCTGTTAAATTTCCTTACTTTTTTCAAACATATGAATAATAATTTATGATGTATTTTATTGTTATAGTTAGGAGTTATGAAATTTTTCTTATTTAGTTACTAGAGAAAATTTGTAAAAGGTATAACTAAAACATGGACAGCACTGTTTTATATAAAGAATATTTAATAGTAATTATATCATTTATCTTGTTAACAAAATTAATTTCACAGTATCACTCACACTTTCTAACCAGGAACAGTACAACATAAAGAAACAATTTAAAACAAGCAACTCTTCAAACCCTGATTGTGTCATAAAAAAAGTGTTTCAAAATTTTTTCAGTTTATAAAATAAACCTGTTACTGATTGTGCAGTTTTGATCATAGTTATAAATAAGGATTTTTTTTAATAACACTATCAGGATATCTTTTCAGATTGAAATTGCCACTATATCTTGATTTATTAGATTTGTTCACAATTGTATATAAAAATCAAAAATATGCTGCTTTTTGATATCTGCCATCCTATATGCAGATATCTATTTGAAATGCATCACAAGTAGTATATTCCACAGTATTTGATACAAAAGAAAAAATAATGATATGAAAGACCAGAAATTCTTTCAATTACAATACAATAAAGTACAAATGGAAAGGAATTCAGTATTGATATTCTAATGTATTTTACACCTAATAGCAATCCATGGTTTCTGCATCAGGGGATTATTTTCCTAATAATTTTATAAAATGTTTGGTCTCTAATTTGGAAAGATGTTGATCAAAAAGTTTTTCTGAATTATATACTTGAACTGCCTCAGAAATTACACATTCTTGCAGAAGAACAACACAAAAAGAAAATTTTCATATATTGAAAAATTTTGTATAGGGCTGAGGTCAGGGCTCTTTGCTGGCCAATCAAGAGGGTAATGCCATTCATTTGAAAAGCTCTTTTTGTTGTCCTAGCAGTATGGCACCCAGCATTGTCTTGCTGGAAGATGTACTGCCTCCCCAATTTAGCAGATATATCTTCTATTACAGGCAGAACATCTTCCACAATAAAACTGCTATAGTTGTCAGCATTCAGTCTTTTCTGTATCCTCCATATCTCAAAGATTCCATCAGATGTTATGAGTCCCCATACCATGACTCCGCCTCTGCCCATATTTTTCATCACCCTGAATTCTTAGGGTTAGGTTAGGTTCTCAGCTGTCTTTTCAGCTCCCTTTGAATTGTTGCTAAGCTTACATCAACTTCTAATTCCTTCAAAAGTTTTTGTGCTATAACCCTTTCCTTATTTCTTTTCAATTTCTTTATTATTCTCTTCATCCTGCCTATGTCTCTCTCTGTAGGTCTCTTTGGGTGGCCCCTATTCTCCTGTTTTGGTGGATTATATTGTAGAATATTGCTAACTGATGTTGGTGCCATCTCCAGAACCCTTAGTTTATAGGCATGAATTAGTGAATTGATTAAACCATAGCTCATATGAGCACATAAATCATACTTTACTTTCACAACATTTAAATCATATTTGTATGACTATGTAGTATTATGTTTGTCTTTAACTTTGACAAGTCCCTTAACAAGTATATTAATTTTATTTTTTACATTCAAAAAACAATTTTGATAACAGATTGATAATGAAATAAAAGCCAAATGGGATGGGACAGAAAACGTCCACAAATGAGTGCTTTTACCCTAACCCTATCCCAGCCCTTAGCTGTACCTTACCTTTTCCATTAGTCCTAACCCTTAGAGGAGACCCTCCTAAGTACAAATCAGTTGCTCTCTTCTTCTGCCTAACCATTTCTCAATACAAATTTTTGTCTTGAAATTTCTCATTTGTGGATGTTTTCTGTTGACCCCTAAACCTATATATTTCACTGTAGTTAGCTGATTAGCTAAGTATGCTATAGAGTTTATTGAGAAAAGTTTAATCACTTAGTACCCTGAAATCATGTAAAAATGAATAGAATAAATGAACTATATTTCATTATGGTGTTAGATTTATTGACAATTTTTTGGTATTTAAAAAGTAAAGCCAAAACTTGCAGTAGATTTTCTATCTTCTTTCTTTTCCTGGCCCTGATTTTCCAAAATAATGCAATAATTTAAAAGAGAGATAGAAAGAAAAGAAAAGATAATCTTTATTTATTCAAATTAAAAAAATTATAAAACAAAGTGAATTGAATATTTAGAATTATTGGCATATTTAAAAAATTGTTGTTCTTTCATGTATAAACATATCTCTTCTGAACTCTTTCTGGATGTTCTACAGACTTTGCTCATTCTCCAACTACCTAGTATGAACAATCACTAAATTTAATATATTGTACTGCTGTTGCTTGGCAAATTTATGCATTTGCAAATTATAACAATACTGGTTCTACTCAAATCTTTTAAACAAATGTTTTAATTAAAATGGTTTATTTGCAATAATAATACTTAAGCAAGTAATTATATGAGAGTTCAATAGCAGAGTAGAGAGTTCGTAACAGCAGGCTGCCAAATTACCAAATTGTCTTCCAATGTTGAGGAGTAGATGGATGGCATGTAAAATATAACCAAAGTTGTACAATATTTTAAAAATTTAGATACTTTTAACTAAGGATAAAATGATCTTATTGAAGATGTTGTAAATAAGATTTTTTTATTGGCAAAGTCTAAATAAAGGTCACCAAATCACCACATTAGTGGCCAATGTTAAAGGAGTGTAAGACTTGTTTCAGTGGAGATTGTTTCAAGTTGATTCTCCCAGATTGAGATACAATGATTGGAACAAAACTAGTTGTCACTAGGTTGAACATTTCAGTTCTATGAATTGGAAAGGACAAACACTGTTAGTATAAAACAGAAATTCCTACAATTTTTTAACAATGAAGTATAGTTTATTTTCTTTTAAAATACAATGAAAATAAAACTGAAAACAATAATGAAGTAATCAACAAATGCTATTTTTCCAACACCTGCTTTACCATCCAATTCCCATGTATTGCATTTATCACCTTTACAACATTTTTCACATTCCTTCTTATCTTCAACTGTTTGACAATTTTCATTTTGAGCTGCTAGAGTACAAGTTCTATGTGAACATTCCCTAACATATGTAACTATTCCAGATTTTTCTTGTCTATAGGCCCAACAATCTCCACTTGAACAGTCAACAATTTGTATAGCTGTATCAGTAATTGTGTCATTGAATTTTGATAAATCTCTTCCACAATCAGCTTTATTTCCTTTGCATTGAAAGCATTTTTCTGAAAAGAAGAAGAAAAATTCTGTTTCTTCTCAATTTCAAAAATATGATTATTAGGTTACTCACGTGCACATTCTCTATAATAATTATGTTCATAATATCCAGCTTTACATTCCGAACATACTCTTCCATGAATGCATAGATCACATTTGTCTATTGAACAACTAACACAGGCTTCTTCATCATCTTGAAGGGTGTATCCAATGTTACAGGTTTCACATTTTGTTTTTCCATTTATTGGTGTTATACTGCATGTTGCACAATGTGAAAATGTTGCCTCTGAACAGACAATACATTGTCCTGTCTTGGTTTGAAGTGAATATTTATTAGAAACGCATTTAACACATCTTATTTCTCTATTAGAGTTGGCTGTACATATTTTACAATTTGATGGACATGGGATACAAGTTCCATCTTGTGTCTTAGCATAACCAGCCATACATTTTGTGCATTCATATCTATTGGTGTGGGAACATTCTAGACAATTTATAGGACATTTTCCACATTCTTCAGAATTTAAACAGAATGCTTCAGCACATGATGTACAAACTAATGAATCCTCTCCAGGAGTTGTTTCACAATTGTGACATTTGTCAACATTGCAAGATTCACATAATCCATTTTTCTTTAATCCATAACTTGGCAAACAGGAAGTGCATTCAACATTATCTCCAATCAATGAACAAGTCTTACAACCAGTAGGACAAGATTTACAGAAATTATCCCTGGTTTTATAGTATTCCATAATGCAAGAAATGCAAGTAAATTTGTTATTTGTTTTGTCAAATGAACAACCACCCAAACATTGATTTGGACAATTTACACATTTTCCATCAGAAAGAACTGATATGTTTGTATTACAAGAAGAACAAGCAATCTTTCCATTCTGTCTTGTACTTTTCATACAATTATCATTATTTCTATAACATTTCTTATCACTGGAATCAAAGAAATAATCTGATTTGCATTCATCAACATCACATTTTGATATTCCATTTACATCACATTTCTTACAATTTGGGTCACATTCTGTTTGATAATAAATGCTAAATTAAACCTATTTACTTATATATACACACATCAAAGTAAATATCTTACCTTCACATGTTGTGGGACTATTAGCAGTGTTAATCCTAAAGCCATTTTTACATAATTCTGCTACCAGTTCATCAGATGTTATACTCTTGAATGAGCATCTGGCTACACCATCACCAGGACATGGGATACATGTTCCATCTATTCTATGTCGAATGAATCCTTCTTTACAGCCATGTGGTATACAAGTCATACCATTTAAACAGAAACTGCAACCATCTGAGCATGCTTGACAATTTCCAGTATTGTCTTTATAATAACCAGCATCACATTGCAAACATTCAAATGAGTCATCAATATGCTTTCTACATATTGAACAATAATCAATAGAGCATGATTCACAAGTGAAATCTTCATCTCTCAAAGCTGTTGCAATACAGCCAAATGTTAAGCATAAAGTATTATTTTGATTTTCAGGATCAATTCTACATTCACTACAATTTAATGGACATTTTATGCAAGTTCCCTCATTGTTAAGTGCATAATTTGGGAGACAATTTGTACATCTATTAATTGTATTTGGTGGTGTTGACCTATCATCAACTGTACAATCTGAGCACCCATTTTGACATTGATAACATTTTGGTTTAGCTGGTGCAGAAGTAGGTTCTAAACCAAATCCAGATATACATTTACTACATTCAGAAACAGTTGAAGTTCCATCAATTAAAGAACATTCCTCACAATTTTCAGTTGCACCACCACCACCTGTTTGACAATCAATGCATTCTAAATTCTCTTTCAATACATAATTAGATGAGCACCGTAAACATGTACAAACATCATTAACCAATTGAAAATCTGTACAATTTGATATTTCACTATCTGAACAATCGATACAACCATTTGAATTAG